TATTAATTGTTTTATTTATTTATTTAAACATTAATTAATTAATTATTTATTTATTTAAATATTAATTATTTATTTATTTATTTAAACATTAATTAATTAATTATTTATTTATTTAAATATTAATTATTTTATTTATTTATTTAAATATTAATTATTTTATTTATTTATTTAAATATTAATTAATTAATTATTTATTTAAATATTAATTATTTTATTTATTTATTTGAATATTAATTAATTATTTATTTATTTAAATATTAATTATTTTTATTTATTTATTTAAATAATAATTATTTATTTATTTATTTAATCTTTTAATAAATTATATGAACATAAACATTATAAATTCTTTAGAATTGAATAATATATTTTTATATTCACTTTAAAAATAAGATTATTTGTTTATTTTTAATAATTTTAATTATTTTAAATAAGATAATATTTTGTATATTTAATTAAAATAATTATTTCATCAAAAACTATTTCTTATTATATATATTTTAGTTATTTTTATTTAAATAATAAATTAAGTTAAATATATATAATATGTAACATTGTGATAGTTTTAGTTATTTATGTATATTTATTTTTTATATACTAATAAATGCGTTTTATAATGTATATTTTTTATTTTATTTTATTTTATTTATATACCTAATCTAATTGATTTATTTATTTAATTTATTTAGTTTATTTAATTTTTTTAATTAATTAATTTATTTATTTATTTAATTTATTTATTTATTTAATTTATTTAATTTTTTTAATTAATTTATTTAATTTATTTATTTATTTAATTTAATTAATTAATTAATTTATTTATTTATTTAGTTTATTTAATTTATTTAATTTATTTATTTATTTAATTTATTTAATTAATTAATTTATTTATTTATCTGTTTACTTATTTATTTATTTATTTATTTAATTTTATTTAGTTTTACTTACATTAATTTAAGTTATTTAATTAATGTTATTTATTTAAATATGTTTTAAATTGATATAATAAGTTTAATTTTTATTAAAAGTATTATATAATATTTAATTTGAAATATATTATTGTTAATTTTATTTATAATCAAATAATACATTAAAATACTTTCTTGAATTATTTTTATTTAATTTATTGTTAATATTTTATTTTATTATTTATTTTTTTAAATATATATAATTTAATTCAAATATATATATATTTTTATTTAATTTAATTTAATTTATATTTTTTACTTAAATTAATAATTTATTAGGAAAATAATTTATATATATATTAATTAAAATATTAAAATTAAATGTTCATTTATTTATTTTTATTTTATTTTTTTTTATTTATAAATTAAATTTTATATGTTTTAATTATCTATTTTTATTTTATTTAAATTATATTTTCCATATTTTTTCAATTTAATAATTTAACTTATTTTCATTATTTTTTTTTTCAAAAATAGCTATATAAATTAATTTAATAAATGAGCTTTATTTATTTACTTTAATTTTATATTTTAAAAAAATTTATAATATAATTTAATATATACATTTATATATATTAATTTAAAATAAGAATATTATTTTTTTTATATCTCTATATTTTATGGTTACCTGAATTTAATATTAATCAGTTTTAATTATTCTTTTATTTTTTCTTTAAGTTTTTTAAAATTATTTTTATGTTTTATTTTTATATAATTTTAAAATAATATAATTATTTAAATTTTTTGATTATTTTAATGATTCAATTTAATATACTATAAATTTTAATTTATGTTATTATTTTTTAATTTTATTTTAAATTAATAAAAATCATATATTATTATTTTTAAGTATATATAAATATATTTATGTATATATTAAAATATTCTTTTCTATAAATTGTTATTTCTATTTTTATTTTAATTAATTCTTTTGTTAATTTATATGTACTATTTAAGATAAAAATGAAAAATTGAATTATGTTATTTTAATTAAAATATATTGTTATCCAAAATGTAAATTTATAATTATTATGGAAAACATAATTTTTAAATATTTGTCCTATTAATTTATAATTTTTTATGGAATATAAAATTCTAAACATCTATTGTATAATAATATATTAGATGTTAGAGATGAAACACAAAAATTAATGAGGAAATTTTATTCTTACATACATATTGTTTTTGTTCTTAAGTGATCTAATATAAAACATGATTACAAAATGATAATTTTATTGTAGAAAATTAACATAAAATTTTTAATTTTTTTTTATTACATTCAATTGAAGTTGTAAATTTTAAAAATTTATTGTATATTTAATTTTAAAACAAAAAATTACATGTAATATATAGCTTAATGATTTACTACAAATTAAATTTTTTTCTTATGTTTATTGTTTTTAAAGAACGTTTTTGTATAATAATTTTTATGAGTATTTTTATATAAATGATATAACAATTTATTTTAAGATATAATATTATAAATGAAATAGATATTTTTGAGAAAATTCCTTTCCCATTTTATAGTTTAAGAAATATTACTGTATTCATCTTTATATAAGAAATATGTTTACATTATTTTAAAGGAAAAAATTAAGTCAACATAAATAACATATGAACTATTTTAAAAGCTAAGATATTAAAAAATTAGTCTGCTTTTATTTCTTTTATCTTAAAAATTTTTATGCAAAATTATAAGTCAATGTTATTTTTACTTTTGTTTGTCTAATTCTCCAATATTTAATGCTCCATTAATTCTATTTTTTTCAAATTTTTATGAATTTTACATAAAGTTTCTTACTTTCATAGCTCATATACAACCAATTTTTTTTTATTTTATTCAACAGAATTAATAAAAGATGTATCATTTTGAGTAAAAATTATTTTAAATTATTTAATTTTAGGTTTTCACAACTATAAGTTCTAATATTCCTCTAAAAACTTGATCTTTTCTTGGATTACTTAAAAAAAATGTGTCTATTATGAAATTATTACTACAGAAAATATTTATTTTGCATATATTACGATACTTTATGTGCATTCATGATGTAAAGCATGGACAAAACATAATACTCTACGTAAATAAATATGATATTTTTAAAAAATTTAAGTGATTGAACCATAAAGCAAAAAAAAGACTTTCTGCGCAAATATTATTTAAAATTGATATACTTATGAAAATAATTATTTTCAATGTCCCTTTTTTCTTATAAAATAAAGATAAATTGTTGAATAATTCAATAAATTAATAAAATTTCATATTTTAATTTATACATTATTTTTGTGATTATACCTTAGCTTAATTATCATATATTTATCAACATTATTAAAATTTGAGATTAATAATATCAATTGCGAATCTTTTATATTTTTTATAAATTACACATGTAATGATCTGACTTTCTTTTTATATTTAACACATTATTATTAAAAATGTTTTGTAATATATATTTTTTCATATTATAGAAATAAAATTGAAGTTAAACTAGAAATTTTAAAAAAGTGTATAATATTTCATTTCTTTTTTTTTTTTTTTGCTAAATATATATTAGTACAATAGTACCTGTATATTCTTAAATTGAGAGCCTTTTATAATAATTTAATATAAAATTTTTTTAAAGGACTTATTAAAAAAAATATAGTGTGTTTAATCATAGAATGAATATTTATGTCAAATAGCCTCAAATGAAACATAATTGAGCAATTATAAAAAGTTTTTTATGAAGAATTGCTTTTTGAGAACATGATTATAGAATAAATATTTACTCACAACTCTTACGAGGTTTTACTTTTTTTGGATTATTTATGATAATATCAAATATAATATTCTAATTCATATAAATTATTTGATTAAAACATTTTGAATTATAGTTTCAGCAGAAAAATTAAAAATACAGATTTGTTGAATCCTTTTTTCTTTATTTAAATACACCTGTAATATCCTAACTTTTTTTAATATATAGGCACGATTTTTACTTTAAGATTTTTATTTTTTTTGCACCCATTTTCTTTTATTTTATATAAATTAAAGAAATAATTAGAAAAATTTATATTTATAACAATAAAAACATTTACGAAAAATAGATATATTTTTAGATGATGTCTTACTAAGAAAAATAAAATTCCGTAGATTTTGTAGCATAAACCAAGTCTACATAAAAATATCTTAAGGATGATTCTTAGTTGAAACTTTTTTTTAAAAGTAGAAAAAAAGGAAAATATTAGCAAAAAAAACTTACGTTCTTTGATTCTTTTATTAATTTAAAAACTATTCTTTAAAAATTTACAGACACTAATTAAGAACCATAATCTTATAGTTTCCTTAATTGTACGTATGTAAAACTTAAAAGAAAATTATGGTCGATGATTATCATATGGGTATATCAAAGAAATGCCTTAAAAAATGCCCAATCCACATTTTATTTAATAAAGTGCACTAATGATAATAGATATAAATTATAAAATAAAAAATATGACAAAAATATCCTTTTAAAAAAAGGATTTTTTATTGAAAAATACACTTTGCATTTTTCTTAAAATATATGTTTTTCATCTGTCTATTTTTTTTTAATTTTTTTGAGATAATCTACCTATTTACTAGTAATTAAAAAAATTATTTTGAATAAAGAATATAAATGTTTAATTTAAAAAGAATTTTAAACTCTATTTTATTATTTTTTAAAGATAGAATAAATTTTTCTTTTATTTTCATATATTGTTGGAAAAAAATAAACGTTTCTTTTTATTTATGGGTATATATTTTTTGTTTGTAGAGAATAAAATTAACAATATAATTTCATGGTATATTGTTAATATATACATGAAATCCAATATAAAAAATTAAAATTTTTTATTTTTTTTAAAAAAATCACGAAAATGGTAGTATTCTAAACCCTTATGTTAATTAAATTAATTCTTTTTTTATCATATAGTGTATTATGTATAAAATAAAAAAAGTTATTTTTAAGGTATTTTTCCTTTTTTAAAAAAATCAAAAAAAATTGTAGGGTGTAAAACGCAAATATATTATTTTTATAGTTTTTTCTTTAATTTAAAAGCATCCACACCATTCAAATAATAATAGGGCTTTCTTTTTACTCGAATGAATCCATTTTTTTCGTAAAAACCTATGAAAAATATTGCTTAAAGGTGTAAATAAAATAGTTTTAAAAATAAAAAAAAAATTATTACGTAATGTTGGGTTATTTGTAGCCTCAGCTTCGAGGTGAACCTAAAATGAAAAGTAGAACAAAATAGTTATTTTTAAACATTAAAAATATTATATAAAAAGTTTTCTTAAAACGAATAATAAAATTACTTCATTTACTCCATACAAACTTTGCATTAGTTTAATATTTTCATTTAGTAAATATGAACCTAAAAATGCCAAAATTTTATAGTTTAATGAAAAGTTTAATATCACATATTAAAAAATAAAAATATAAACCTAGACCACATCCTTTGATAGATTTGTGAACAGCAATCATACCTATGAATTTAAAATTTGTAATAAAAAAGCAGAAATAATTAAAATATTCAAATTTTGTGTAATTCCAAGAAAAAAAAAAAGTTAAAATTAAGCATTTAATAAGCAAGTATTATATACTATAAAAAAGAGAATCTTTGAAATAAAAAATATATGTATATTTTTTACATATATATCCGAAGCTAATTGGTTCATCATCATTTTTATATTTTGAAGAAATTTTACTTATTACTGTACCAACACATTTTTCATCATATAAAGACTAGAAATAAGAAAGGGGAAAATAAGATTATAATTTCTATGAAATTGAAAAATATTAATAATTTTTAAAAAAAAGTTGCATACCATTAATGCAATTTCACTATAATTTTTTAAAATAGTTTTAAGTAAAAAAATGCTATATGGCTCGGACAATTCTTCGCTTAACAATTCATAAACACTATTTAGATATTTTTTCGGAAATTCTTTAAATTGATAAACTTCAATTTTTTTTTTATTAAAAATCACTGTTTGATAAATAGTACTTTTTTTTATAGTATTATTAAATTGCTCATGTGTATTTTCTTTTGATTGATCATAAGTATTTTCTAATACAATATCAGTTCTGTTTAAAAAAAAAGAACTTCCACAATTTTCAATTTTTTCATTTACTGATTCATCTACTGATGTAATTTCTCTATTCATTTTTTAATTTTTCTTAACTTTGAAGGGAAGCAAAAAATACATGAAGGAATAAAAATATTTCATATGTATTTTTTTAATAAAACAATTACTTTATGTTTTTTTTTTAATTTTTAATAATAAAAAATGCATCTCACATAAAAAAAATAAACATAAATTATAATGAAAAAGTTTAACTATATTTGTTTTATTTTGATTTTATGAACTATTATAAATTTAAAAAAAGTAACTTAAAACAAATAAAGTATAAAAAAAATTTTAAAATAAAAAAATTTTTAATTAAAAAATGTGACATAATGCAATTATTTATATATATTTTAACAAAAAATAAAAGGAGTTAAAAATATGAATATTTTTTTTAATGTGTCAATTATCTTTTTTCAGATTTTTTTTAAAAAAAAAAAAAAAAATATACCACAAAATTTCTAATTTTTATATATTTATGGTACAAATAAAACCTCCTTCATTTATAGAAATGAAATTATGTTTATTATATTTCTGTTTAATATAAAAAAGAGGTAAAATTGATTGAACATTTAGTCCTATAAATAAATCCTTTTTTGGATAGGATTTCAAAGGATTAAAATGATTTACATATTTTCTATTAGTTGCTTTAGTTTCTTTAATTTTTTTTTTATAATAATTATAATATTCATCATCATATAAGTTACATGAGTATATATAAGGAATTCTAGATAAATTTGCATAACTGTGTAATTGATTGTTTTTTGAATAATCAGAGTTTCCATCTAAATTTATGATTCTGTTTGCGGTGCTCATAATATCATATATATAAACAGAATTCGTGTAGGTATCCAGGGAAACAATGTACTGCTCATTGTCTATAACATAAAAATCATTGAGATATTTTTTAAGATTATTATTATCTATAAATCTTTCATATGTAACTAATAGATTACTTTTTGTTTCATCATTATCTTTGTAATTTAAATACCGCATATCATATAAACCTATATGATTGTTAGTTTTTGATAATATGTATTGAAAATTGTTGTTTAATGAATAAATTTTATTTACATATCCTTCATTTAGTCTAAGTTTGGATATTGTATTTAAAAAATTGCATCGTAAATCACATAAATATAAATATTCTGTATTACAACATAAAAAAATATTATTATTTGCTTTTTTTACATTTTCACAACATATTCCTTTCTTTTTATTATCATTGTAATTGTACCTCTGAGAATTTGGTGAATAGTAATTATAGGAGAGATTATACTTACTCGTATTTTTTTCATTTGAATTTATTGAGCTATAATTTCTTGAATTATTTTTACTTAAATTGTTATTTACATAACTTAACTTTCGTGTAGATTGAGCATCATTTATTTTTGGAACTTCATATTTATTTATATTCACATAACCATCATTATTTAAATATTTACTAGAATTTTTTGTTTTATATTCATTTTTTTTTTTCATGTCGTTTTCATAAAACTCACCTATTATTGTTTTTTCATTTTCTTTTTTTACTTTTTCTTTACTTTTTTTAGAATAAAATCTCAGTTTTTTTTGAGAATTATTTTCATATAATGAAAATAAAGGATATTGTTTTCCACTTAAAATATTTTCAATATAAAATGTTATGTCTTCATTCATTGATAATAAATCATGAACTTTTAATTTCTTACTATCCCATATGCAATAAGTAACATCATCTTTTATTGTACTAAAACTGAAACAAGGAAAAGATCCACATATAAAAATTTTATCAATTTTATTATTATGATGATATGAATATTCATCATAAGTATTATTATTACTTGTATAATTATCATTATATGTAGGATCATTATTGTCCATTGAAGGAAATAATTTAAAATAATTTATTTCACTTATGAAGCTATAAATTGCTATTTTGGGATTGCATTGAAAAAATGATTTTATACTTAACAAACATAGTAAGCTTTTTTCATCTTTTGTATTTCCATATGAAGAGTAAGCAACATATTCTCCATTAAATATATTAAAATGAGATAATATTTGAGGAGAAATACAAAGAATTTCACTTTGTTCTTTAGAGTAGCTACATAAATACTTGGTATCAGTGCTATAATAAACATTTTCATGGATTATATCATTTATAGGAGATTTTTTATTTGTTTGGACAAATTTATTCATGTCAATGGCTCCCAAACTAAATGAAAAATTGTTTTCTTTAGTTGTACTAAAAATGAAATCATCATATTGAGGATTACTAAATAAATGAAAAAATGATTCGGAAGGTTTAAAGGTTTTTGAAATTCGTGCTTCATTTGTTGTTGCATCGAAATGTCTAATTGGTAAGTTATCTGAAGGAATTTGTATATCAGTTTCTTGATATATAGTATTATTTGAAATATTATTAAAAGTAGTAAAGTTTTGCTCACGTGTAGTGTTATTATTATTTACTTCTCTTAAATTATTTCCTTCTAAGTCTTCATTATAATTATAATAAAAATAGTAAAAATTAGCCTTATATCTATTAGCTACTATTTTTGATTTTATATTCTCTGTATTGTAGGAATTTAATTTTTGATATGTTCGACCATAAAGTTTAGGAATTAATAAACTTTCTTCTATATTATCACAACTAAAAGATATGTTACTTTTAAAATCTTGAATATATCTGTCGGAATCATTCTTGTTTATTATATTGTAATTTTTAATATTTTCGTTAAATTTATTACTGGAAAAATTATGTTTTCGGTATTTTTTGTTGTTTTCAAATGGTTCATTATTAATATCCTTTAATTCTAATTTACTTTTTCTTTTATTTTCATCTATTAATTTTTTACTTAAATTAAAGCATTTAAAATCATTCAGTGGTACATCTATGCCATCGCTTCTTTTAATACTTAAAAAACAAGGAGATTTTGTGTTGTCTAAACTTTTGTTTTCTTTTTGGAATAGTATATTATTATTTGTTGATAATTCACATAAATCTTCTACTTTAATATATTCACAATAGTTAGAATTAATAAAAATTGATGGTAAGCTTAAAATTGAATCCTCCAAAAAATTATAATTCCTTATACGCTTAATAATATTATATATGTTTCGATTTTCAGATATATTTCTTTTTAAAAAATTTAATTCATTATTGATAAATTGAAAATTTTTTTCCTTATTATTTAGAATAATATTAGTTTTATTTAAAAATACACAATTTATATTATTGTTGTCTTTAATATTCGATTTATTATTATTAGCATTTTTTTTTTTTTTTTTCATTTCTTTTAATCCATGAATTTGATGAAATTTTTTTTTTACATATTTTTTTGGTTCTACGTTACTTTCACGATTTTTTTTTTTTGCATTGTTAATTAATTTATTAAATTCTTCTTTTTTTAATTGTTTTTTTAACTCATTATCAATTAAAAAATATCTATTTTTTTTTTTATCAAAAAAATAACCAGGAATGTCTAATGGATCCTCTATGTTTTCTTCATTCATGTTTATATTTTTATTTTCATTTTTTTTAATATAAAAAAATAAAATAAATGCAGTATTAAATTTATATATTTATTACTAAATTGAAATAAAAAGAAAGTATATATTGTTTTTATTTGTATGAAATAAAATTTTTGCATAATTGACATAAGCTATCATTTTAATATATATAAAAAATGGATAAAACAAACTTTTAAAATAATATATTTTCAAATTAATGCAAAATAAGTTTAAAATTTAATGAATAAATAACGTTAGGTTTTTAAAAATCGTTTTTACTTCTTTCATTATATGAATTAAGACTATTTTATTTTAATAAAATTATGTCATATTTAATTTTAAAAAATTATATCTCAAAAATATTTGTTTAATATTAAAGAAAAATATATATGAAGAGAAGAATTTTACATTTTCTAACATTTTTTTTAATATATTTATTAATATACATAATAAAAAAATTTCCTTAATTTAAAAAAAAAAACAAAAAATACTATATATTATGATAATTATTTCTATCAGAAATTTTATTTTTTTTAAATTATATAATTCATATTTAAAATTTTCATGCTTTGGAGAATATATTTTTATAAAATTATTTTACATTATTAGGATAAAATATATTGTATAACATATGAAATATATAAATTTAATATTTATTATCTTTTTCTTTTTATATTTTAATAAAATCCATTTCTTTTTTAATAGTCATAGTTTTTATTACTTTATACAGTTATTTTAAAGGGTTAAAAGATTATAAGACAAAATTACAGTGATATTTTAGTACTTGTAATTTTTTTTTCCTTTTATTTTTTAATATCTTTTAACTTATTTTTATTTTATATTTTGTAACATAAAAAAAATGAAATGTATTTAAATAAAGTTTAATAGCTTTCCTTACGAACAGCTTTATATATCTAAATGAAAATATAAATTAACAACTAAATATATTTGTAAGAATGCTAAAAGGTAAAATTCTTTATTATGGACATTTAAATACTTCTGAAAGATTAATATATTCAACAGGAATAAAGGTTCATATAATCTATTATTCTAAATAAATTCTGTTGTTTTATCATAAAAAAATATTCAATGAAAAATTATTTTATAATATATTATGTAAGATATATATATGACTCCTAAATTTTACAAAACTAAAGTTTTTTCTTTTTGTAAGCAATACATTATTCTTTTAAATATAGTATACTGACATAATGTAATGTGAATATAAAATTTGAATATATTTTAGAATATTTAATAAAAAAAAATATTTTATTATTTTCAAAAATATGCGAATACTCATACATATATATGAATGAATTTTATTTTCATATTTTTGTTCCCATTTCATTAAGTTTTTATCTTAAAATATTCGCTACATAAATCTTTATTAAAATTTAAAACATGCAAAACATGCACACAATAAAAAAAAAAAAATAAAAAATTAAAAAATAAAATAAATAAAATTTTTGTTATTTATTAGATTCTTTAATTTTCTGTAATTAAAAATGTCCTATGTAAAAAATAATATTCTATCTTACGCTTTTCGTTAAAAAAAGTAAAAAATATATTAATTTGTAACCTTTTTCCCATAAAATTTTAATTATTTTTTTTATATTTTAAATATAATTTTTTTTACATTGATAATTTTACTAATAATTTTATAATGTTTTAGCTAAGGTAATATAACACAATTTAGATATATAACATAAAATATTGTAATTTAGTATGTTGATGATATATTTGTTAGCAATGATTCAATCTGGTCATTTTGTTAGTACTTCAAAATGCATAGGTATTATAATTTATCTTGTTTACACTGGATTAGTACAAGGTTTTTATATAAACACATATTATAAAGTGGGATCTGAAATTTTTCCTAATGATAATAGTATTGAAGAAAAATTTAAAACATATCTACGAAGTAAAAAAAGAGAATTAAAACCATTATTTATAAATGATTCAAATGAGGAAAAAGAAAACAGTTTAAACAATGTCATGGGTGATGATGACAGTGAATTACTTGGGAAATATCCCATATGCGAGGCAAAATATAAATTAGTAGATAAACTAAAAGTAATCAACTTCCTTGAAAAATTAATGGAAAAAAGAAAAAAAATAATATTTAATAAATCATGTCTCACAGAAACATATGAGGTACTATTAGTTACATTAAAAAACACAAATGATTTATTATCAGTATTAGCAACAGTTTATGGATTTATTCCACATTTTTTAATTTTTATCATACTTTTTGGGTTTTTTATAACTTTCAATAAAATTTTACTTTATTTTGTTCTTATAATTCCAACTCAGATGACTTTAAATGATTTAATTTTAAAAAATATTTTCAAAATGCGAAGGCCTAATAATAGTGCATTGAAATCCTATGGCATGCCATCAGGGCATAGTTCATTTTCATATAGTATATTAACATTTACAGTACTTCATTTAATTGAATCACATAAAGATAAATGGAATATAATTGCATCTCTCTTAGCATTAATTACATTATTTCCTATACCTTGGAGTCGTGTATATATAGAAGACCATACAGTATCTCAAGTTATTGTTGGAATCATTTTAGGTGTCATATTGGGTTGTCTTTTTTTTCTTTTTAAAAGGATACTTTTTAAATATAAATATTCGAAGTTTTGATACATAAATAAAGATAATATTAATATTAAAAATGATATATGTCATTTAAAAAATTAAGTTTATTGAATAATTTGCATTTTAAAATAAATATAGAGATAATATTGTATAGCATGGAAGTTCTATATTTTTTTTTTCTTTAAATTCTCTTTTTGTGTATGAATGTTTTTCTATATATTATATGTGCATAATAGAGTTCTGTTTTATTATATTTTTTTTTGTTTAATAAATTCTTTTTATTGCTATATATCATATGTTTTTTTATGTTTCATCTTTATTATATTCTAATGTATGTAGATTATTCCTTTGATTATTTGTTCTTTTTATCATTGTAATTTTTTTTTTTTTGTTTTATACTTTTTTTGTTATTTTTTGTTTAGCTAATTTTTAGAATACATAATTTGATCATAGTTTTTTTTTTAAATATGATTTTTTTATAACTTCCATAATTTATCATCATATTTTAAAAATTAATAATATTTTTATCTAAGAAAAGAGAATCTTTAATTTGTGAACAAAAAAACTTTTTATGTAAGTTACATTATTTATAAAATTTATTAAATTTACTAAAAAAAGACAAAAAATGAGGGAATTAAAATAAAACAAAAAAACGAAAGTATGTTGTTAAAAATAAAGAACAAAGTGCATTAATGTATAAAAAGTAAAAGTGAAAGAATAGAATAAATAATAATATGTATTTAAAAAATATTTAGAAATTTATGCTCTGTAAAAGAATAGTTTCATTTTATTAATTTAATAAATGTGTTAGTAATGGTAAGTTTATAATATTTTATAGTTATAACTGTTCCATTTCTAAATTATAATTTTTCTATATTTTTTGTATAATATATTATCATAAACCCTAGAAATTACAATTTGCAAGACCACCATGGATGTGCACTTAAATCTTTTAAATTTAATTTCTTTCTATAATCTATGTGCAATAATTGCTAAAGAAAAAAAAAAAAAAAAAAAAAAAAAAAAAATATATATATATGGATAAATAAATACAGGAAAATTTTTGATTGAATAAAAATGAACATATAACAGTTTGATTTATAATGATAAAAATTTGTTACCTTTATAATATTTTTTAGCTCATTAGGCCATTTTTTAGTTAGCTCAAATTTATCAAAGTCCATGTCACATTTTACGAAATAAAAGAAATCTTCATCTTGTAATGGGTCTGAACACTTCCATAAGTTTCCATTTGTCCAAATCCAAAAAAAAAAAACTCCAAGCATGAAATTATCAGCACTTGAAACATCAAAATAAAATTGTTTTCTTTTATCTTGATCAGTAATAGACTTTAAATCCTTTAGTGGATTTTTTATTTTCATTGTATCATATTTCCAATATATTTTCCAACATTCAGGTGGCATATATGCTCCTTTTGCTATTGTTGGTTCACAAGATTCAAATAAATTTAAACGATTGACATCTTTGATATGTCTTAAATTATAAGTATAAATAGGTGTACTTTTAGATAAATCACATAAACGCATTTCATAATTATCTGAAATTAATATATTTTCTGGAGTTAAATCAAGATGAGATAATCCAGCATCATGAAGTCTTATCAACAATTTTAAGCATTGATAAAGGATATAACTTTTTTCATTATTACTTATTTTCATATTATATTTTTTTTGTCTCCTATCTATATAATCAAGAATATCTTCACTGAAAAACTCAGAAACTATAACAATATTACCATTAATGTTACATTTAAGTCTTTCAGTTAATATATTATTGAATAAATTCAAATTATTAAACATAGCTTTTGGTGCCATATATTCATTAAAATGTTTACTTTCTGGTTCATATAATACCTTAAATAACTTAGGAGTTATTCCTTGATGATATTCATTTAAAAAAGCTAAAGCTGCTGCTTCCATTACAAAATTTTCCCCATCTGTTACATATTCTCCATCATACTCATTCATTAAATTAAATTGTTTTACCCATATATATATAGGTATTTTTTTAATAAATAATTTTACTTCATTTTTACTATTACCATCTTTTGAGGGAACAGTAGCTTTAAACATTTGTTGAACTCTATTACTTGATTTGGAAAAACCGAGAGTTGGAATAGAAGTAAGATCCCAATCTGAATATTTCACACCATTAAAATAAAAATTATGTGCACTATGTAGCATTTTAATTAATGCTTTTTGAGCTAGTTTCCAATTAAATATACATTTTGACTTGATTTGTTTTTCCATGTTATTTATGTTATTAAATGGCTTATTGATACAATCTTTAAAAGAATTGTAATTACAAACTTCAAATTTTTGTGTACTTAAATCAGAATTTGGGAAAGGATATTTTTTATTATCATATGTGGTGGGATTTTGTTCTTTGGATGAATTATTTTTAAATTTATTCCATATTTTTTTTATTTTTTGTTTAGATATTAATAGCATTTGACTTTTCTGATCTTTTATAACTTCATTTTTTTTAACAGAAAGCAAATAACGTTTTCCTGGAGTGTAATTTGCTTCAAGTTCATTGCACATTATTTTTTTAGTTCCTTCATCATTTTTATGAGTTTGCATTTCTTTACGTGTTCCTATTTTTTCATTTTGTATATAATTAAGATCTCTTGTATCCCTATTTTTTTTATTTTTTTCTTCATTTCTTTCTGATATATAAATTGAATTATTATTCAACTCTGATGATAAATTATAATTCATTTTATTTAATATTTCATTATATGTATTAGATGAATTTTCATATTTTACATTCTTCATAATGTCACTTGGAATTGTATTATGAAAATATTCGTCTAAATATACATTATCCTTACTATTATCTTGAGGAATAACAGTGCTCTCTATGCGCCTTTTTGAGACTAAATCAAAAAAATTTTTTTTTTTTTTTTTACCTAAATTATTCACTGATTCTTCATTCTTATTTTTAGTACTTTCATAAATTTGACTTTTTGTTAATGTTTTATCATTTTTTTTTTTTATACTATCTGTTTTTTTATTAAAATTGAAACTCTTTTTTTTTAAATATATTTCATTGGGAATATCTGATCCTACTTTAAAAGAGTTTCTACTTAAATCATAATTATCTTTTTTTACTTCTTTTTTATTTATTGTATATTCTTCGTCAGAAATATCATTTATAAATTCCTCATTACATTTGTGTGTGTCATTTTCCATATAAATTGACTTATTAGGAAAACATTGTTGGATTGTTTCATTTTTCTTTATTTCAAAATTATCTTCATTAATGACAGGGACATTATTTTCTATTGAATCTAAATCATAGTTACTAGGTGTCCCATTTTTGTTTTCTGATTTTAGAACCATTTCTGACATCTTCCTACTTATATTTTCTGATGATGAATTTTTATCCTGTATATTAATTTCTTTTAAACTTACAGGAGTTTCTGGAACATTTATATAATAATTTTTATCTAATTTTTTTTCAGATGTATTGTAATTCACGAGAAATTTTGATATATCTTTCATTGAATTACATTCTGTAGTGCTATCATTTATATTTTCCATTTCATTAAAAATATCCAGACTTAGCATACTTCTAAAATCTTCTTTTTTTCCATATATTTCATTTATATTGTTTGTATACTCTTCTATTTTACCATTTCCCAATTTCAAAGCATTAGAACTTTCAAAATTAGGATCATTATCTATTTTATGATAATCATAATAACAATTTCCCGTTAAATTTATAGTATTATCTTTTTTACATGATAATTTGCTTGAATTTTTCTTTAAACAATCTTTAGTATTATCGGAAATATTTTTATGATTATTTCGATTGTTGTAACTTTTTTCATCATCATTTACAATAGACATTATATTTTGAGAATTATAATCTAAAAATGTTTCTATCTTCTTTTTTTTATTATCTAATATATATATAGATTTATTATTTTCTTCCACGTTATATGAATAATTATTCGAATAATTATTATAATTTTTTGAATTTGATTTATTTATGTCAGAAATTCTACATTTTGATAAAGAAGATTCTGTGTAATTGCCTAAAAGATTATTTATTTTTTTTTTATTTTCAATATGATTCATAAGTAATTCTTTTTCCTCTATTATAGGATTATTATTTCTTGAAATTGTATTATTTTTTAAATTTTTTAATGAATCGTTATTTTTACTTTCATTAACATAAAAACATTTATCGTTGTTTTTTTTTGAATCAATTTCATTAATATTGTCGTAATATTTTGTGCTAATGGTATTTTTATAGTACATGGTACTATTTGAAAAAAAATCTTTTTCATTTTCTTCGATGTTCTTATCATTACCTTTTTTTGAAGTGTTAGATTTTCTTGATATTTTTTTTTCTTTATTACTCATTTGATTGTTATATTGGAAGTCATTTCTTATAAATGTTTGAGTACTATTAACAATACTACAAAGTTCTATATTATCTTTAATTTTGTCGTTATATAAAGAATTTGAGGAAATTACCTTATTTTTAGATACATTGCATTTATTCGAAAAATTTTCATTCACTTTTTTTTTTTTTTCACTAAGCAAAATTTCACATTTCTCTGTATCTAGATTTATAGTTTTTTCAGATTTCAAGGATAAATAATTATCATCACACGGTAATGTTTCTGATTTTGAATAATCAATTTTTTCTGTTGTTTTAATCATTTCTTATTATTTATATAATGACCCCTTCTTTTATAATTTTTTTCTTATTATGAAACTTTCCTGATATAACAAAATTAATAGATGCAAAAATTATAATTAATTAAGACGGATTTTTATTTTAATTTTCCGATGCCTTCAATTGTAAAGGAAATGCACAAATATATATATATAGGTATAAATTATGCAATTATATTAAAATAGTAAAGGTATTTTTTTTTAAACATTATTCAGAAAAATAATAACTTATAATTTTTTTTAAGAACAAGACAAATATAAAGAAAAAAAATAAAAATAATATTTATTTTTTATAACAATTCAAATAATATCCGTTAAAATAGCATCAATTTATTCCTAACAAAAAAAAAAAAAAGAAAAAGAATAAATATTAATAAAATTAAAAAAAACGAAATAAATATTTTGAAATTTCATTTTAAAAAACTAATGTTAAATAGTAGAAGTTATTAACATATTAAAAACAATATATAAATTTTGATAAAAATTGAAGTAACATAAATTTTAAATATTTAATGAACTTTGTATTTTAAGATAAACAACATCAAAATGAAAAATTTATATTTAAAAAAAAAATTTTAAAAAATGTGCATTAATCTAAATTAGTGGACCAAATAATATAAAAAAAACAAAAAGAAAAAAAAAACTTAAAAATATGAAGAAATAAAAAACAAACTTTTTAATATATTACCTTATAAAAACTATATTTACTTGGAACAATTAATTGAGCTTTGAAAATTAAATTAATTAATTACATTTAATAAAATAAAAAAATAAAAAAAAGAATTATTCACATAAAAGTTAGCGATTACGGTTTTTTGCCATATAAAAATATACACAAAAAAAAAAAAAAAAAGAAAAAAAATAGTAAAATCCTAAAAAAGAAGTTGGTAAAAATCATCATAATTGTTTAAAATAAATGTAATCCTTAAGTTGCATTGTGTTAATAATATATTGTACCTTAATAAATATGTCTCAGAATATTATAAAAAAAAAAAAAAAAAAAAAAACAAAAAAAAATATTAAATAACGTAATAAAATAATACAAGAATTACAAGATTTTGTAAAAATAAAATTTTATATAATTTAAAATATAAATGTATTATATATATTTATTAAAAATTCTCTCAAAATATATGTAATGTAATAAATATAATAATTTAATATGCCATATTTAATATTATAATTTTTCTATGAATGTATTAAACTGGAAAAATTTATATATTCTTATAAATAAGCTTTTATGTAGTAAAATATTTACGATGTAAAAGGAACAGTATAACCTTGTTAAATAAATAAAAAAATTGATATAAACTCTTGTTTGTAATTTCAGTGTATATATTTTTTTTTTTTTTTTTTTTTCATTTTACGGTAAAACTTGTATATATGTTTCATTAATAAAAAAACATTATATGTTTAAATAAAAATAAAAATATATTATCTCAAATATTTTAAAGATTTATGCAGTAAAATAAAAAAAAAAATTTTAAATGTGTGTTAATAATCAATTTAATTTTTTTAATTATGCAGTAGATATACTTAAAAATTAAAAGTCAGAAAATAGAGAATATAAAAAATCAGCAAAATACAGGAAAATATGGACAATAAAAAATATCAAGAAATATTAAAAATGTGAAAAAAAAAAAAAAAAAAGAGAGAAAATTAAATTATGTATTGTGTATGATTCTTGAGTAAACAAAAAAAAAAAAAAAAAA